GCGCAAAATTGAGAAGCACTTAGGTTTTAATCACTATTCCCAGGTCTGCAAAGAGGTTCTGTGATGAATAAATAATGAATCCGAGATTTTAATCAGTGTTATGATTTTTGAAAAGGCTAATTATCATTGTTTACAGACATGCCTTTCCGACGTATTTCCTTGTTTTGCCTTCAAAGCTCCAAGGGTTAAGCCCCTCGCACGCATCCCTCCCATCCCTCCCCAGCGCCGCGCTCCTTGCCCGGGATTTCTTGCGGGGTTTGGGGTTATTTTTTTTTTTGTTGTTCGTTTGGTGTTTTTTGGGTTTGAGCTTTTATTGGAGGAACCGGAGGAGAGGGATGGAGCCGGGCATCCGGAGGCGCGCAGGGCTGGGGGAAAGCTGCGCACCCCACCCGAGCAGCCGCTCCGCACCCCGCGGAAAAACCACTGCGGGGGTGTGGGAGGCTCCTTCTCTTTGCCGTCTGCGCATCGAAATGCTACAAAAGCATCTTATTCGCAAACCAGTATTTTTATTACCGGCAATATCGACGATAAGAAGTGGCGGGCAGCCTGTCAGTCCCCTCCTTCCCGGGGACGCTCCGCTCCGCTCCGCTCCGCCCGCAGCGCTGTGCTGGGATGCGCCGGGATGCGCGGAGCGCTCCGCGGGGCCGCCCCGCAGCGATCGCCCCCGGCTCCCGCCCATCGCATTATTATTGCTATGTTTTCACTATTTATAATTTTTATCATCACAGCCGCCTCTGGCCCCGTTTAACCCGCTCTGCCCCACACCTCCATCCCCTCGGCCGTTCATCGGGATGGCAGAACCTTTTTTCCCCGGGTGGGATATTCGCTGCCAGGGTCCCGATTCACTCCACCACCACCATTCCCATCCCCGCCGCGTCCCCTCCCGGCCTCCCCCGCAGCCGCCGCCGCTCCCGGGTCCCGCCGCCTCCTCCCGCTCCGCTCCCGCTGCTGCTTCCAGGGAGAGCGGGGGGATAACTCCCAGCCCCTGCAGCACTTGATTATCAGTTTCCAGCAACAGCTGTGTATCTCCGCTAAGAATCTAAAGAAATATCAGAAGATCAGGCAGCGATGCTATTTATTACCCTATAATTAAAGTTCTATCAGTGTTTCTATTATAAAGCCTGATTTGCAAGGGTTGGTAACTCAGAGGCAACATTTTCCTGCGAGATGAAGCCTCGCTGAGAAGTACTTCAGTTGAATAAGGTTAGCCTGTTAGAAGGCAAAATCCTCAAGGACTTTCATTAAGGTGCCCATTTATATCCACAAATAAATTGCCAAGTCCCTCAAATCAAAGATATATAAGAGGAAAACATTTTTTTTTTTTTGCAAAAAAAAAAAAAAAAAAAATCAAGGATTCATGGAAAGGTTTTAATATAATTCTCTAGGAAATTATTCCCATGAAAACAATTTGTTTGAAAGGAGATGCCCTCTGGTCTTTTCCGCACAAACTAGTCTTGGGCTAGTACATGAGAACCCAACTTAAAAGTGCCTATGAGCAGAAAGGAGGTTGGTTAATTATTTTCAACTGTCCTTTCTGGAATAAAAACCAGAGTAAACAGCTTGAACAGGGAAAGGTGAATTTAATTTTCAAGGCCCTTTAACTTTTAATAATCTGAGGAACAAGATGGGAGGTACATTCTACCCTCCCAGTTATCCTGATATAAATTCATTCAAGATTTATATTGGTGTAATAGAGAAGCAGAATTTGCTCCGTGATTTCTAATGAACTGCTGGCTCGGTCTTTAAAAACGCAATTAGAAAAATCTAACCTCCTAATTCAGAACAGCTTTGAGCTGAGGCAGAGGTCTCCTTGCTGCAAACAGGGATGGAAGCTGGTCTGTGCCACGGCTCCTCGCCGTGCCTGCAGCACCAGAGCGGGGTAGGAATGCTGGAAACGGTTTGCCACAGAATTCCCCAGTTGTTTCAGGATTTTCTTTTCCACTATCTGGGAAAAGACAATTCTCATGAGGAATAAACCTGTGTTTCCTGTGATCTCAAATGCTAAGACAAAAGGATTGTAGGATTAGGTGCCTGGCCTGTCACTGATGCAGGAGGAGCTGTCTGGTCGGGGCACTGCCTGGCAAGGCTGGCACGAGTCAGGAAAACCTGGCTTTGACTCTGCACTGAAACTTGTATCAAAGAGCTCAGCGTTGCTGTGTCAACGCAGGTAAAACATCAGTAAATATGAAAGTAAGCCAAGGTCTAATTCTGCTGCTTTACTCATAGGATTAGGTCTCTGCATTCACCGCTTACTCATCTGTGTAGGAACAACAGGACCGAGATCCCAATTTGTCTCTCTGACCTTTTGAAGTGAAGGGTTTAAAAGAAGCAGTGCAGGGCGACAGCCTCCTTTCCTCTGCTGAGACTGCCAAGCAAAACTCTGCAGGTTGTTTCAGTCTGCAGCAGGTTGCTGGAGGACACTGTCTGAGGGAAGAATCACCTCTGAGTACCTGGGAAGTCCCACATGTCTCTTTTGAATGAGGACCTCAACAAAGGCCAGCGTGGCCCCCAACACAAGGCCAACCTGCAGGTTCTGGGAGATGTGGTAAGGACATGGAATCATTGAATAACAGAGTAAGTCTGGGCTGGAAAGGACCTTAAAGCTCATCTTGTTTCCCCCCTGCCATGGGACACCTTCCACTAGACCAGGTTGCTCAAAGCCCCATCCAACCTGGCCCTGAATATGTCCAGGGATGGGGAATTTTCATCCCTGCTCTAGAGCAGCTGTGCATCTTTGCTAAGAATGTAAAGAAATACCAGAAGATAAGGCAGCAGTGCTATTTATTACCCTGCAATTAGAGTCCTCACAGTGTTTCTATTATAAAACATTAATTGCAAAGGTTTGTAACTTGGGGGCGGGAGGTGGGGGAATTTTTCCACCAAGATGAAGCCTCACTCACCAGACAGGGCTGGGCATGGTTGAAGTATCACTGATCAGTAATACAGCAAGGCAGAGCACCAGCTCACCAAGGGGTTGGGCAACACCTCTTTTGGTTGTGGGGCTGCTCAGGGCACGCCCTGAGGACAACTGGAGTTTTACACTGGAAACCACACAGCTTTGATGTACTGAGTCTGCTCACCACAAGCCCTAGTGCAGCATTACAGCATCTCCTCTTTCCCTTTTATTGGTTTGGAGAATGACTCACTGTGGTACTTGAAGCAATTTGCTTTAACTGTACCGTGCCTCAGTTTCCCCAGCAGCAAAGACCAAAAATACTCCAATTTGTTCCTGCTGGTGCAAGGTGTGATAACATTGGTGCACATTAATGATACACTCTGGTAGGAACTGCATGGTGAGTCCTGTTCCTTGGCTCTTCCAAGAATGACTACCAGACCTATGCACACCCTCTTGAGAAGACCATGTCTACTCAACCACATGCAACAACCAGAGCCAAGCTGGGCTCTGGCTGAGCACAAAGAAGGAGGAATGCACATACAAGAGATGATTACTGCACATTTACAACTCTGCAGTGCTAGGAAAATGCCCAGCACTTACCACTGGACCTCCCTGGGTTTTTTTGATTGCTTAAAGGAGCAATTTTAAGGAAAGGTACCGCATGCTTTCTCTTGCACGTGAAAAAACACATTTCAGCATCTTGATGGTGTCAGAAGAGACAAAGGCACATGTGTGGAAGGGGACTCACTTGCATCCCTAACCTGCCATGACAGGAAGAGGAGCTGCCTGATCCAAGGGAAACTGAGACCATACCCATTCAAAAAGAGATCTTACCAGGCTTCACATCTTACCCACAGTCCTCTTCTTCCTTCTTGCCAGAGCAGAGTTGAAAATCTTGGAATTGCCATAAGATTTTATTATCTCTTGCAAACCAGATCCTGCTTCATCAGATAAAGACACAATTGCATTCATTGACTCTGACACGAGGATATGCATGGTGATAAACATACAGATAGATGTACACACTTATACATGAATGAGATATGCTAATTAAAAATTGCAGTGGGCACTTTATTAAAAATTTATTGTACAATCTACATCTTCAAAACATTTTACATCAACAAATATAGCGGCTTGACTGCTGGAATCATAAGTGATTTATCTTTAAAAGACTGTATTTGCAACTGGATGCAAAGATTCTTGATGAACTGCCATTACATTTAAACTACTGGTTTTTATTGGAAGTATTTTGATTGTTATCTGTTTGTTCTCCATCCTTGAGAGAAATAAAACAAGTGTCTCGGCTTTCATTTTATCGGATAGATGGCACCATGTAGCATATTTCCCATGCTAGTTTGAATTACAGCTGTTTATCTTTCAGCTTTCTTTAAGATTAATTAAATGCAAATGTAACCCCACGAATCATGGGATTACCTGCCAGACCCCTTATTAATACCTTCACTTAAAAACCCCTGTGCCAGAGAGCCATTAATTTGCAATAAAAAAAAAAAAAAAAAAAAAAAAAGAGAGAGAGAGAGAGAGAAGTGCTCAAGCAGCCCTTTGCCTCCCAACAACGCGGAGATGGCTGCCCAATTAGTCCGGCAGCGTTCGGATCCTCCTTTCAGGCCCTGTGGCCCTTTGAGGACACAATAAGGCTCCAATGATAACCTGGCAACCTAGGTAGAAACTCAGCCAAGTGTGAGCGTTTGAAGCTGCAGCTTGGCTGCCATCGTGTCGGCGAAAAGAAAGAATTCAGGCACCATGTCATCCAGTACAAAGGATAAAAACAGATTCAACCGGAAATTCAATGTGGCACCACATATGGGATACATGAGTGCGGTTACACAACAGGCCACATATTTTTTTTGAACAGTCTCCTGCATGTGATGCCGAGGACATGTGTAACCATCATAACGTCTCTAAGAATCTGTATTTAATTTGAGCTGGGGTGGTGGCAGGGATTGGAGATCTGAAGCCGCCACAGGTTTGTGGCAGATGGCTCTGTGTCAGCTATGACAAGCAGCCAGGCTCGGCTTCCTCTGCAGATTTTCTTTTCTCTCTGATCAGGTAAATATGGGCACACTCTGGAAACTTCCACAATTCTGCCTGAGGCTGCAAGTTTGTGACTTAGCCCCATCTGTCACAAATCTTCCCTCGGTTCTGCTGCGAGCAGAGACCTGAATTTACTGCCGAGCGCTGCCCAAGAAAACCCGGCCGTCTCGCCCTGCGAGGAAGCACAAGAGAGAAGCACACGGAGCCCTGTTAGAAGCTGGGACACAAAGGGGACGTCTCTCACACTGGAAGGGTTTCTGAAGGGGTGGAAGCCAGTTGGTCAGGGAATGCTTACATGGCATTATCTAAAAACAGGGTTAATTCAGTGGGGTTTTTTAAAAGACAGGTAAGCTGGTCATCAGGCCCAGGTTATTTGCTCCTGGATGAGCACCATCATATATCCCTTTGCTTTACTGGTTGGTCTCAGTAGACACACCATAGATGGAACACTCATGGGGACCAGCCTGCCCCTTTCACCCTCAGGCATGGCAGAACCACAAGCCAGCAGGAGCAAGGGCCTAGTTCTCCTGTTTAGAACATCATCAGTCTGGGATTTATTTGAGAGTAACCTCCTTTTTTTGGAGGGTGACAAATATGCAAAGGTGTGGACATTAAGTTTTTCAAGGAACAGTCATTCCATAAACAAATTCTACCAAATATGCAGAGATAAAGAAAAGCAAAGTTTTCACATAAAGCAAGATCTCCCCATAAAGAACAGGCAGCATAATGTCAGTAGAAATACAGTATCTTCCATGAAATAATCAACTTACTTGTTTCTGGCATCCTAAGATCAGAATTGAAACACTTAATATCTACCCTGCCATCATTAGACCCAGAATTAACCTTTAGAATTTAATAAGGAGTGTTCATCCATTCAGGCCAGCTGATTCAGGACAGTTGGGAGTTCCAGCAGACAGTACTGATTTGGCACAAATCATCTTAAAAAAAGTAAGATTTGGAGACTATTATTCAACACAAAACCTGAGATTTTGCAGGCAAGGCAGCAAAGTGATTTACAGAGCCAGTTTGTATCAGAGCAGATTTACTCTGTGATCCAGCTCCTTCCCTCTGCAAGTGACTAAGGGGGGAGAAACAAGGTGGAAAACAGTTTTTAGCAATTATTTTTGGAGCTCAGTTTTCAAACTCCAAGCACCTTTGGAAACCACCATCAAAAGTCACTGTTGCTTTTACATTAATTGGGTGCACTGTAAGGCCCAAGGCAGAGCTATTTAATACTCCTCAATAGAGTAAAAGTATTTCCCTGACCAAACTGTTTCTTATAGTGGCCTTTTAAAACTTATTTCATTCTTGATGTCTTTAAACAAAAAACCCTAAAATTTTGGATTCAAATCTACACAGGACACACTGGTGGGTGCCTTGCATAGGATGGTTCAGAACACACTGACCATCCACAACAGCAGGAAAACAGTTTCAGGCTTCCTTTCTCAAGGTACTTTTGAATAAACTTTACTAAAAAAAAAAAAAAAAGAGCTTTCATGCTTTTTGCAACTTTTCTTCCAAACCCAATCCTATTTCTCTGACCCATTTCTCCTTCTACTGTTTTAGAGCGGCTGTGGCTCATCTGCCAGTTTTCATTTACTTTCTAAAACTACCCTGGAAGCTATCTAACACTGTCAAAATAAAAAAGTTTCAAGTCCTGGTGTTTCTGCTGAAAGTTGCACCCATAACTGCTTTCCTAAGGAATGCTTTAATCCTGCTCCACAGGTGCAGCCAACTGCTACAAGCTACGGACCAACACTTGGGGACAAGGCTTAGTGGTGATCATGGTAGTGCTGGCTTAATGGTTGGACTCAATGATCTTAAGGGTCTTTCCCAACCTAAATGTTTGTATGATTCTATGACTTTCAAAGAGCTGAAGTCTCCTGGATATATATCTCTGAGAGTCAAGAGCATGGCAAGCCCTGGGAGAAATTCAGGTACAGGACACCTATACATACGTCTATCTACACATATATTGTGTCTATACATCTATGGCTGGACCCCAAAATGAGCTATCATACAACTTCAACAGCCCTCCTGCCAGCTCATTTCTTCCACAGCGAGGATTCACATCAGCTAGCAGATCTCACAGCTGCTTCCAGACCCACGCACTGCCTGAAGACCTAAGCTTGACCCAAAATGCTTAAACTGTGTCTCACAGTCCAGCAGCCCTTCCCACCTGAGCAAACCTCCTAAGCTAGAGGTGTATTTCACCTAGATCAACCAAACATATGGGAAAGAAAAGTATCAAGAGTTCAGTCTAACCCTGAACAACTTAATCCAGCTCTGAAGTCAGATCCTGCTTCGAAGCTGGCCCTGCTTTGATCAGAGGCTGGCCAGGTGACCTCCAGAGACACCTTTCTTAACTACACTGTGATTCCATGTTCTGAAAAAGCGACCAGAGTTTTCTTTCACCTAAGAAATCCTAATGTTATATGCATTTTACTAAGGATCCCATGACTAAGCACTGAAATAGAGATGGGAGAGAATGGACACAGCACACTGCACTCCAGAGCTCCCAGGCTGTGACAACCTTCCCACACAGATCTAAACCATCTCTGAAACCATTTTAAATTAAATTCAGTGGAAACTGAGAATCTCAGGAGGAAAATGCAAGTTTCTCACTTGTGTTTCTGACCTCCTTCTGACCTGCACCTAATGCTAACCAGGTCAAAGCACAAATTCAAGACAATTCCTTCTTTTTTTCCTCTGCAAACATGTTCTGCTGCTGAACAGAAAGCCAGCAGGATGGATGAAAATACTAGTACTATTTGCATACCCTATAAAGCTCTGAATTAACTTTATCAACTCAGGACAAAAGATCTGGAGAACACTGTAAGCAAACATCTGCTCAATATACATTCACCATTAAAAAGTAAACAGTAGGATTTGCTCCATAAGGAACAGGTTGAAAATTATCAGAGTACTACACATCACATAAACCAATGGCATGGCCTAGAATTCTCTGTAAAGCAATGATCACACCAGCACAAAAACAGCTCTCAAGCATCAAAATGGTTTGAATGATGAGGGATTAGAGTATAAACATGGAATAACATTCACAAGGAGAGAGTTTAAAGACTGGGATGCTGAAAATGTTTGACAAATGTTTACAAAATAATGAATGATATACAAAAGATGGATGGGGAGCTCCTGCTTCCAAGAGACCAACTCCAGAACAAGAGTCAGTGAAACTAAAGGTGGGGGAAAACCTGAGCCAATTGAAGGAAATGCTTTTAACAACATCAGTAAATATATCATAGAATCATGGAATGGTTGGAAGGGACCTTAAAGACCATCTTGCTCCAACCCCCTGCCATGCACAGGGACACCTTCCACTAGACCACACTGCTTATGGAAAAATTAATTTCTCACGGGATTTTGCTGGGGACTGGGTAAGGATAAAGGCAGAGGCATCGTCCCCAGCTCTTGCATGGCCTGTGCAAGAACTATGAACAGCTACTGCTCCCTGCAACAGGGCTGAGTGGCTGATGGGACATCTGTTGTGAGGCTCCCCTGCATCCTCACGTGTCCAGCGCCCATATCCTTAGGCTGAGATTGTCTCCTGCTGCCTAAGTATGAAAGCTGGACCAGGAGCAGTTTTCCCTTCTACACGATTCCCTGAAATACCCAAGATACTGCTTTATCTCAAATCAGGGAAAAAAGAAAAGAAAAAAAAAAAAGAAAAGAAAAGAAAAAAGAAAGTTTTGTAAGAACTGCCCTATACAGCCAAACCCTGAGACTGGAAACAATTCAGATGTCTACGGTCTAACTGGGATCTTAATTTGATTTTACAGCAGTTTAATCCCTTTGAATTCAGCAGATTTCCTTCTACAGTGGTGTAAGAAAGAAAAAAAAATCACGCCATGTGTCTTTTCCTAGGCAGGTGAGCTTCTGTAGTGTGATGGAAATGAGAAGATGAATGTCAGAAAGTGGGCCAAATTCTTTTCTCCGTTAAACAAGCATGAGTGAGAGTAGGATTTTCTGTAGGAACTGAAGCTGACAGCATGTCAACCAGCACTCATTCAGCTGGGAGGGCTGGGAGAGATTATTTAAAGTTGTCAGCTCCTTCCATGCCTGGCTTTTGGCAACTCTTCTTGTCCCTCTCCACTGTATACTCTTTATACATGCTGTTTTAAATTAAGAAACTCAAGTGAGGGAACTGAAAGGTAAACTTAAAGAAAATAATGCAGAAACAAATGCTTTGACCCATTTTATTTTATTTTTTTAACTTTAAATCTGCTAGATAGGGTGCTTGCAAGCACTGACAGGTTCTCTGGTGTACTACAACCGATGCCCTGTTGTTACTTCCTTCACTCCAGTGCTTACTTTGGCAGCTAAAAACACCCAGAACTAGAGTTTGGTTCCATAAAACTGGAACAGAACAAATAATTGATAACAAATGAGATTTGCTTCCCTCTCATCTCAATCTTCTGCTAATAACCGGGAGAAGGCAAGGCTGAAATGCAGATGAGCCGGCCCTGGCGCTGTGAGAATGCCCAGGGTGAGCAATGCATCACTTGGAAAGGTTTTCATAGGTGCTTACATTATGGGCATTTCTAGAAGTCTGCCAGCATGAATCTGCTCTCTGCAGTTAAGCTATTACAGCTTCATGCCTTGGTCTGTGCATTTTCACAGGGATACTCCCTGTGTCCCGTCCCTAAGCCGACTGCCCCGCTGCCATCTATCCTTCTTTCTGCCCCTGATTTTGTCAGCACAAGCACCGAGGACAACTGAAGGAATAAACTGCCTGTTTAATTAGTCCGCTGTCTAATTACTGTAGATATCCTTAGTAATAAAATCTCAGCAATATGTAAAAGGATGAGCCAAGATACTTCCGATGGCGATTACTTCCCAACCTATGGAGCCGAAACTCCAACCAGCAAAAGCACTATTTGTTTATAAAGCATTTTTTACTTTTAAAATTTCCCAGATAACTTTATAAACTTGAAGCAGAGAGTGTGGCAGGAAGGTTTCTGAAGGAAAGGGAGCTGGTTGGTATGGAGTCCTGTGCTGGGGTCCCTTTCCTATTCCGCTATAACAGAGATAATATTAGAGTGATCTGAAAAAGAAGTGATAATATGGTGCAAGTGCTGTTTACCCTTACTGATTTCGCTCTTTTCAGCTTCCTAAAAAAGCAGCATAGTTCCACCTATAATGACATTAACAGCACAGCTCTAAGTCAGCATTTTCTAGGAGGTTTTACGGATGGTTCCACTGTGAAAGAGGACTTGGCGTTACGTGGGTGTAGGTACAAAAAGACAACTCTAACAGCATTCCCCGAGCTGATCCAAAGCCTATTAAAGACAACAGGGATCTTTCTTCTGGTGCTCACAGGTGCTGGATTAGGCTCTGCCTTACTCATTTTAAAAGGATCCCCCACTCAGCTCCGTTGCTACCTGTTGCAGACGTTCAGCTTGAACTCTCAGAAGATCTGAACGGGGCTGCACAAGCCCATGTATACGAGGGGTAGGATAAACACCTCCAGCTTCTGCCTGCAAATCAGCTCAAGGAATTCTTTAAAAAAAGAGAAGAATCCTTCAAGCAAATTAGCATTTTGCCTACGGGGCTTGCGCACACATTTTCACCCCGTCCTAATTTTATATCAGTATTTTGTCCACTGTTATTTCCATTTTTTGCACGCCTTTGCTCTGTTTAGGAGCTGGGGATCCACAGGTGGGGTGAAGATCCATGTGAACACACCTATTAGCTGGGCTTGAAGCACTGGGAAATGTCAAGGTAAACATTTAAGGACTGTTTTCCCTTTGAAGCCCCCATGTATAACTCTACGATACTATTGACTCAAGAAGTAATGCTGAACACTGGAAGTGTTCAGTCAGCATTTTAAACTATTATGAGCTACCTTCTGAACCATTGCCAAGTTAATAGACAATGAAAGATAATGAGCTTGAAATTGGGTGTTAAATTGCATTTTTGGTTCTCTCCTTTTTTCTTGAGGTTTAACTGTTTCCTGCAGAAACAACATCATCTTTGATGTGTCATTATGTAAATGTCTACTTTTAGGTCACAAAAAAAGTCAAGGCGTGGGCTGAACCCTCGCTGCTCCCGCGAGGGGTCGAAGGCAGACGAGACACAGCAGGACCCAACACTTTCTGGTCCCCAGTGGGAGGGAGGTGGAGGGGTGAGGTTGGGTCTGCTGGCAGCACAAGACTCCAAATTAAGGAGGATATTACTCGCCTTGCTCATTAACAATGTGCCTGGACAGCAACAGCCAGGGAACGCTCAAGAAACCACGCTTGTACTGCACGGGTTAACCCAGGGAGCGTTTCCATGCACCCCTTTAAGGACTTTGAGCTGAATTCAGGTTTTTTTTACAACTGAAAAACCTCTGTCATGCAGGGGTGACGTGTATCCAACCTACCCACGGCAGAGCCAGGACAGTAAAAGTCATAAACCGCTGTGAATGTACATATCAGCATGCAGAAAATAGCAGTTATTCTCCTAAAAGCAGCATTGTGTAGTAACAGTTCTTCACTGGAATAATACATTCAGTGCTTCATCTACAATCAAATTTAAAGAAAGAGAAAAGTGTGACTCCCAGCAGCATAAATACACCACTTAAATCCACAAAAGTCGGTCCAGCATTGAACATTCAAGCAAAACCTGAATGGAGGGTCTGTCACTGAATCTGGACTTTCTCTACAGAAATAACTGAGAGGACATGATAAATACCAGTAAATTATACTCCTGATAAACTTTTATGCTCAACACACCTTACGAGAAAATAAAATAATCATAATTACGAAAATCGTTCAAATCAATCCATAAGCCAAAGAAATCTTACCTGATACCTGTCACCTGCATTTTTTTGAAGATTAAATTAGGATAGGGAGGTAGGCTTATCCTCATTAGTATAATTGTAGGATCTTTCTTTTATTTTCCTTTTAAACTAATGAGTTGCATTAATCCAGGTTCATTTTTATAAGCCTCTTGGGTCCAAATGTAAAGGACAGTCATTTTAGAAAACAATAAATTAAAAAAAAGTATGTAGCATGCATTAAGTGCACGTATTTCATAAGACCTAGGTTAATACAACTGGCATCTAGTTTAATTAATCCTTGTTAGTGTAACGACTAATATCCCTCCCTAGCATGTTTCCTTTAAACATTAGTATGTTAATTAAATGTTGTTTTTTTAAGGGCTTTTTTTTTTTTCCTTTGTACTTCAATATGGCATTATATCATCTAAAACTATTCTGAACAACTACCTTATAGAGATGTTTCCTTACAATATCTGGTCTCTTGCAGAAATTCTGAAGCCTTTTAAAAAGCTGTTCAGGTGTAGAATACAGATATTCAGCTGCAGGAAAAACAGATACATTTTTAATGAAACAAAAACCTCAAAGCACACACTCGATATTAGTCACTTTACTAATTAAAAATGCATATTGCTCTGTGCCGCCTCGTGTTTTACATTATTTAAGCATGATTTTATAAGGTTACCTCAGCTCACAAGGATGTTTAATGCTAAATAAGACTGTGTAGTTGTGCTGTTTAGACATCTCCTTTGGGTGATTAAAATACATTATTCTAATGTAACACAATGCATATGTGATACATTTAGTGATGAGATTTTTCAAAGAACTGGTACTACATTAGTGTGTATCCTGTACTGCAGTTGCATACTATTAAGTATTAAATTGTTTAAATAATTTGGTGTGATTTTCAGGCCTTGCCTTTTTTTTTTTCCCTCCTTCTGTGTATCAAAAAAAAAAAAAAATCTGCAAACCATTGCAGCATCACTGACCTTTTAACAAAAATCTATCATTACGGGTTGTGTATGCTAACAATGAAGAATGCTATTTCAAAACTTGCTTTTGTGTTATCTTAAAAGAACAGATGGCAAATATAAACTTCGTCTAATGTATTAAAACACATAAAATTTTCCTTAACACTAACATGTTGGCTTGCCAAATAAACAATTGCTTTCGCTCAAGTTTACCCTGAAACTTCGGATTTCAGCAGGAATCACGTTATTACGCTCCAGCAAAAGGAATATGGAACAGAGCAGCTACCTGGGAATATCTCTGGGTACACCAAGGCTTTGGGACACAGCGGGTAGCAGCCACAATGCACAGCTTCGATCCTGAGGATTAGAAACCATAAATACACAAAAATAGACGTTAGTCAGCCAAAAACTTATTTCGGTGCAAGAGCCTTGAGGTTGCCTACATGAAGCAAGAGGGAAACATTTTTTTTTTTTTTTTTTCCCTTCAGCAGCACAATCCTTCTAAATGCCAAAGTTGCTCTTTTTAAAGAAAATTTTATTGATCATATGAATTACATAGAACAGAACAGCGAGCATATGTTTTGTTCGCTGAATAAATCAAAGCGCAGCTCTGCATTTTTTTGTTTTTTAAATACTGTTTAACACATTTTATAATCAGCAGACAGACACATGTAACAACATGGTGAAGTATGGACGGCTTTGCTTAATAACGCTGCCGGAAAACAAGGGCACGTTGGCTACGCCAGGGTGCCCACACAGACACACACATCACCCTCACCTGGCACGGCAGAGACTCTCCTTAGACTTCCAGGCTCCAAAGGTTACAGCTAAATATAGCCCAGGAACAACTCTGCAGCGTGCTCCAGGCTGGGATATTTGAGCTTATTCACATGCTTTGGATAATTTCCTTTATTTTTTCAGGGCATAAACTGTTGTATTTTTTAATAACCACCGATGAAATCCCTTTGCCAAAGCGCGCGTGTGGAGCTTTGTACTTCTGCTTTTTTTTTTTTTTTTTTCTTTTCTCAAGGAACAATTTACATATCTCCTGTAACATCAAACCCAAATATTTTAGAATTGCACCACCATGGCGCAAAGTTTTCCAGTAGCGAATCTAAAGCAGAGTTGCCCCTCTTGGTGCTCACACTTTAATAACTGAACGGGTTAAGGCAGCCAGGTTTCAGTTTATTTTTTTTTTCCGCATAATGACCATTGATCTGACATAACGTCCCTCCAAAGATACAACTGTAATTTCTGTTGGCCAGAAATTACACACTGAAACTCAAAACACTTCTTAAAATATGTTTATTTTATGAGAGGCTTTGAATTTCCTCCAACATGTTGACCATACGAGGACTTTATTTTTAACTTCAGTTTCCCTCACCCACCCAGAATAAAAAATCTGAAATCTCGTCAGCATTCACCTTTTCTGCTTTCAGTGACAATCCAAAAGGGTTTTGATACCTTCATGTGCGTATTGGGTTTGGTACTTTATTACATGTGCCCTGAAAGAACTGTATTTCCTTTAGATCTACTCAATTTTAAACAGGGAAAAAAAATAAAGAAAGAATAACATACTCAGCTTTCATGCTAGAAAACTATGCATATCCACAAACCCCAAAGACACACGTTTCTCTGCAAATGCTTTGGTAAGCAATGATTGCTGGTTTTTTTCATAAACTTTTAAAATTTGTAATTTTTTTTTTTTTTTAAAATAACATATGCACTTCAGATTGCATTTTAAACATTAACAACAATTTCAAAGTGTACATCGTCTAGCACTATATTTTTTACCAAAGGGAAATGTTTCTGATGTGTGATTTAATTGATGATTTCAGTTCTTAAATATTGTGTCATATGTCAAAGCAAATAGATTTTTAAAGTTTTCTTTAATCTAGGAGGAAAAAAAAAAAGAGTGAAACTGTGGACATTTCAGTAATAGCTCAGATCACTAAGTTATGTTAAAATATTTGCTTTTTAATCATATCGTCTGCATGGAGGGGAAAAAAAAAAAAAAAAGCAACAGCTCCCTAAAACAAAACTGCAGGCCAAGATGGGATCTGAGTCATCGTTTGAGTATGAAATTCCCCCTTATGAGAAACCTCTACCAGGATCATGAATTAGTAAAATCAGAATTTAATGCCTCCCTACTTTGCTGGATGAAAGTTAAAAAATTTGGAATTCTCTCATTTGCAAATGATCTTATTTGCATTCTCATTTTCTACCTTTCTGCGCCAAAGTTCATGTGGATTTTCTGATCAGTGCTTATTACATGTAGTAAGTCTTATTACAAACTGTACACC